ACCTACTTTTATATTATTCTCAATATTTATTAACATTAAATAGTTTTTATTTTTTTTAGTGGGACCCACTTGCAATTTTTCAGTTTTTTGAGTTTTAACAGTGCCACATCAGCGATTACTATTATTTTATTTATTAGTTAAGGGATTGTGAACAGTGTCACTAACACCGTGAGTTTTGGGACTAACGGTGGCCTTTTTAGCTTAGTCTACGATCAAGATTGGTGCCCTAGTGAAAGTTGCCTTTTCACAAAGTATAGGGTTGTTAGAGCCAAAAATCCTTAGTTTTTTTGGATATGATGTCTTTGGGGTATCAGGAAGTATGCATATAAGTAAACTTATGCTATAATATTGTACATTAATATAATAAATTTAGTTAATATGCATAATTTACAACATTATATATATATATATATATATATATTAATATAAATAAATTTAGGTCCTGGCGGAGGTTAAATAACTCTTATCGTGCAATGCCTAGCCCAATCCATGATCTTCCCAACTGTAACATCTAGTGAGAAAGGGTCTTGCACATGGGAGTTCAGATTGACGTGAAGCCGTGAAGGTTTGGGCTGTCATTGGTTTTACAGCCCCCACAACCGCATTGTTCGTTCAGTTTAGAATCAAAGAAATCCACAAACAGGATTTCCTACTCACTTTTCCTTGCCTACTCTATATTCGCCGTGAATTGCAAAGTCAGATTTTCTTAGTCCAGATCTCTTGTTCACGTTTGTCCACATAACATTGCAGTCACACATGGAGAATATCTATCCTCCTATATAGTATTACGCAAAGGGAGATGTTCCCAATACATGGGGATAGTGTATTGTAAGTAAACGTGGGCAGGAGATCCGAACTCAGATTTACTACTCACTTTTTTTATCCATTCTCTAATTGCAGTGAATTGCAGCCACAGACCTCGATTCATAATAGAGATGTGTGACTGCAATTCATGACGGTTAGAGAGTGGATAAAAAAAGTGAGTAGGAAATCCCCTTTGGTGAAGCACATCTCTATTATGAATTGAGATATATGTGGTTCAACCCGGGTAGAGAGTGGACAAGAAAAGTGAGAAGGAAATCTGGATTCTTTGAAGCAGCTACTATAAATAATCATCGTCAAATACTCACATATCACACTCATCCGCCGAATGATCCCTTTTCTTTCTTTAACTGACTTTTGTCTATTTATTCCTTTACAAGGCATCGTATCGTAAGGCGTAGTTGGTGAATATTATTTGCATCGTAATATAACGAAGTGCTAACATTAATTTTAGATTAATAAAATGGATCATTAATTTGTTTATTTGGATAAATTACTTAATTAGAAACAACAAAAAAATTTTAAAACAAAATCATGCCACTACTACACAAYCCCTTGGTGAGCGAGGCCGATCTCAATCCACTCAACAATTGCATATCTTTAGACAGTCGGCGAAGAAAGTTGTGAAAGCTTCCAGTTTGGGGTTAGGCAGAGACAACCCCACCTCAACCGCATCTTCTCCATCTCTACCATCAAAAACAGAAAAGTTTCTCTCACCCACTACTCCAAGCATTTCATATTTCTTTGGTTTTCCCCACCCAAAATCCATCTCATAAGCCCCAAACTTGGGTGATCCAGACACCCAAACCATTCCCTCTTTCTCTCGCCAAAGCACCTCTGATGGCCACCTCTCTGCACCTCTCAATATTCCATCTTCCAACCTCTTTATTGCGTCTGCAATCGCCTTTGCTGCGATAACGATGCCATCTTTTCCTACTAAATCTATCTTCTTAGCATCCACGAAGCAAGGAGCAAGACAATTGCCAAAGTATGTAGGTGGCACCGGAGGATCCCTTAGGCGACCCCTACAGTCTACAAGAAATAACAAGTGCTCCATCTCTTTACTAGGAGAACTTATAGTCACTCCTGCTTTAATCAAGCAAACCCACATGACAGCGCACGTTACAACGAATGCCGAGAAACGTAATGGTGGTGCAATCTGATCTTCGTCCTTCCTGTGTTGTGCCAAGACCCATTGCTTTAGTCGATTGATATCCCCTCGGCTCAACCCTAAAGTGGTTTTAAGAGCACTAGTATCAGTTGGGACGACTTCAGAACTTTGAGAGGAGGAGGAGTCCGTGGGATTGAATTTTTCAATCTCCTTGAGGTAAATTGCTTTTGTAAGACCCTCAGGTTCGTTAATTATTGTCCTGTCATAGAATGGAAGGGAACCAGATGACAAAGATGAATCCCCTCCTTGCCTACATATGGATGCCCACGAACTAATGAAATGAAAAGTGCTTTTTCCATCGGCAACTACATGGCTGGAGGTGATCCCAATGCTAAATCCGGAGTTGGGAAACAAAGTTATTTGCAAGGCTAGGAGTTGGACTACTTTGGAATCAGAGAATGATGGCAATTTAGGAACCAAAGGGCGAAATCGATTTTCATCACGAGGATGGTGGGCACAGAGATAATTAAAATCGTCATTAGACTCGGCGATGGTTAGCGAGAYTACGTCACCATTGACATAACAGATCTCAGGTTCAGTGGATGGAGGCAGCCACGTTAGGTTTCCAGCAAGAATGTAGAAATGTCGGAGAGTGAGGGAGAGTGACTTTTTGAGGTTGGGAAGGATGTTTTCTCTGAAGTGGGTAACAGGATGAGGGAATTCATAAAAGAAGATACTGGATGGAGGAGGAGTGTAAAGCCAACATATGTCTAAGAAGGTAAGATCAAGAGATTTTTTAGGTGATGGAGAGACTTGGCATTTCTCCAGCACCTTGATGGAGTTGATGGCAGGCATTTGAGAGAGAGAGAGAGAACTAGAACGAGAGGGAGTGAGAGAGAGACCACTAGACCTAGAGAGAGTTAAGAGAGAGAGTTCTGGGCATTGGTGGTTTCGTGGGCTGAAAATAAATAATGCGCAGACACACCAACCAGTCCACGTAAATAATTGAGCATAAGCTACTGGTTTCACGATGGACGTGTGGGATCCAGTATATTCACTACAACCCCAAAAAAGTTAAATTAAAATAAAAGCTTTTGAAATGGAAAACCACTTTTAGCAACGGTTCTTTACTGCCGTCCAATTTCCACTTTTTTAGTAACCGTGGTAAGTATGCTGGTGATAGTATAATAATGTATGCATAATTTTTTTATTTTTTGCGTTTTTATTATTTAATTATAGCTTCATAGCCACAAGGATTTAAATTTTGTTTTTTGTTCTTTTTTAAATATAAGTTATATATTATTAAGAATATTAGATATATATCTAATTAATAGAATTTATTTGTGAGAAAAATGCTTTAAATAGAGAGAGAACAATATTTAATATCTTATATTGAAAGAAAAGCTCACTTTGGTCTAAGAAAAATTAATGGAATAACGGATAAATGAAATCCTAACATTAATGTCAATGATGACATATTTTGTATAGTAGGTTAAACTTTCTATCCTTGCCACTAAGGGTGTCAATGGACTGGTTTTGGATTGGACACCGTCTAGTCCAAAATCTGTAGAAAGGTGAGATTCATCATATGGATGGATGAATCATGCTAGATGGTTGGGCGAAATTTCAAAACTTTCTTTTTTCCAAGAATCATATTCTCAATATTTAAAAAATTGCATTTTTCGATGATCATTCTTGCACAGAAACCAGACCAGATTTAAGCCAAACAAAAGAGAGAAGTATACTTGATACG